GGGTCGAGGCCAACCCTCTTTGAATAGAGGGGGTGGCTTAATGACACTGTATGCTTATGACACTGGGTGGCTTATGACATAAAACACTTATTTGTACGTTATAATGTTATAGTTTTCTTACACTGTGTGTAATTTTTATAGACACTTTGTTCATTGTATCAATGTGTAATTATGTATCTTTGATAAATAAATTATTTAATCTTGTATTTGTGTACTTTCTGGTTATTGAATAAAAAAATTTGTCACACATCGCTCTGATAAACACAAATGGCTGAAAGAAATGTTTGATGGAAAAAAGGAAACAAGTGTCTTGCTGCAGTAGTACTAGAAGTAGTACCAGTAGCCCTAGTATTGTGCAACAACGAGGCTTCAAGAGCGATCACTCTTCTAGCTTGCAAATGGTGAAATAATGTCACATTCTTAGCTGCAAATCAGAAATCTTAGTAAATTAAAAAAAGGAGTTTAAACTTTAGGTTTGGCATAGACACAGACTTTATTAATGACACACTCAGGAAATTCACGTTACAGGAGCACAACGGTCAGTAAGAAAACGTGAATCAGAGATATATTAGAAAAATACAAAAAATAGTGCACAAATTTAAAACAAGCAAAACACCTATGCAAGAGTAATTACTAATGATTTACAAATGCTTGTCATATGCAGCCAATACACTCAGGGAATTTTATATCAGTATATCAGTATAAAGCTGTCTGTAATTCCTGGACAGCTCATGAAATAATTTTAAATTAAAGCTGCACTCCAGTTAACTTTAATAACTAATAACAGGTTTATGTCTTAGATCTACGGACACAGCCAAAACATATTGCTTGCATAATGCTGTATTCTCTCCCAGCTTACAATTTTCTCACAATCAAAGATTAAGGATTGTGTTTTTATAGCACGAAGTAAACTATCCCCTTTTCTTCTAGGCCTTGTTGTGTGTACCTCACAAGTCAAATTATACATTAGTGATACCAAAAACATTTTGAATTTCATTTATAACCGAGATGCCAAGCTGATATCAGACATCTTATGCTCACCAGGAGCATATGTGTGATATGTGATTGGTAGCGGGCGAAGTTAGGCACGCCTATGAGGCGGAGTTGGTCTCGGGCACAAAGTTTCAAAAAAGAGGTAAGCATCACTCGGGAGCTGAGACGAGGCGAGTAAGACGGACAATTTAGGCTGTGCGCTGGATGTGAGAAGTTAGGAGTGCTGTGAGTTTGGAGGAAGACACAGGGTTTTTTCAGGAGAACACTGTTAACTTGCCTGAGGTTTGGGGGATAGACGGGAGATGCTGGGGGGTTTTCGGGATCGTGAGAGTTTGTGACTCAGACTTTGATTGTGAATTTCCTATTTCGTATTAAACAAATGGAAATAAATAGTAATAAAGCTTTCCATCGGGGCATGCAGCCTGTATCTCCATTCTAAATATTACAAAAGCACAAGTTTAACTAAGCACTAAGAACTATGGTTTAACACATATTCACACACACACACAGGCCCACGAACAGATGGCATTTTTGGCCATAAAAAAAATAAACTTCTTTTGGCTTAAAAATGGATTTTTTTTGGATATTTTTAATAATCAAATAATTTTTGAATTATTGAATGAGTTATGAAATATGATCATTTTAATAATAGTTTTATTAATATGATAATTTCATGTTATTAAAAACATGTTACTAATAATTTTATTAATAACATATTTTTATGACTGCCATTTGTTTTATTACGTCCTTTATTACTCATAAATCATTTTATTGTGGGTCATAACATTAATGTCATGGCCTTAATACTGTGAGGCAGACACCTTACAGTACCGCAGAGGATCCTCATGAATAGACGATTCCTATGAGCAAGCAGTCGGTGACCGTGGGGAGGATGAACTCTGTTTTAACAGGAAATGAGCTTCAGATAAATTCAGGATGAAGTTAGTTTCCACTTGCAGGTGCACCAGTTAATGTCACAGCCAGACAACTTCTCACTGGATTCATATTTGCTTATTGTGCTGAACTGATCCGTGCTCTTAGAGAGTCTGGCAGGTCAAAGTAAATCCTGCTCGTGGCAAACTCGTCTCTGTAGGGCAGCAAGTCCTGCAGTGAGAACTCATCACTGTGG